GAGGGAGGGAGGGAAGGAAGGAAGGAAGGAAGGAAGGAAGGGAGAGAGGGAGGGAGGGAGGGAGGGAGAGAGAGAGGAAGGGAAAGGAAGGGAGAAAGGAAGGAGTTGGGGGTGGTCTGGGCTAGGAACAGCTTCTCTGTCATGTCTACCCACCTACCTGCTCACATACAGACAGACAAACATACACCCTGCACGCAGGCCAAGGAACCTGGAGGAGAGTGGAGGAGGGAGAGGAGGCAGCTGCAGGAGGCTGAGCCTGCCCAGGGTGCGAGCATTGTGAGGCAAGTATGGCTGGCTCCCAGGCATGCCTTCCACAGCTAGCACACAAGGAAATATTAACAGCCTCGTGGCCAAACGCGACCACAATGATGAAAACAGACCCTGTGCGGGGAAACAGGTGGTGGTTCCCTTTCTCATGGGACATTTGGGATTGGGAAAGATGGGGATGCTTAGAGGACTCTCCAGGTGCACCCAAGTAGCCCTTGTGATGGAGGGGGGCACAGAGAGAGACAGAGACAGACAGAGAGAGAGAGACAGACAGAGACAGAGACAGAGAGCCAGAGAGAGAGGCAGAGTCAGAGAGAGACAGGATGGCAGTGATGGAGACTCTGAAATCTGTGTGGGGAAACAGAAGAGAAGTCCCCCCCCACACACACACACATCCTTGGTGGAGGGATGCTGACTACTTACCTGGGCTCTCTCAGCAGGGCTGTCTTGGAGTCCAGGGAGGGAGCTCAAGCTGTCTCACCCAGGATAAATCACAGTCCAGGCCACATTGTGGGGCCCTCAGTGATCTGGCGGCCAGTGACACTCCTGCTTCTGTTGCCGTGGATACAGTTGGGCTGGTCTAAATCGCAGACATCAGGGGAAGCAGGCACCGGAGGGGTGCACTGGGCAAGGCTGGGGGTGTTGGAGAACACCAGGTGGGCAGCACACAGCCTTGGGGTGCCCGGCTAGCTGGCAGGTGGAGGTCCGGGCAGGTGCTTCCCCCACTACACACTCCCACCCCCATCTTCATGCCACCGCCAAGCTGGGAGGGGGGCCAGCGCTGGCCCCCGCTACTTGTCTGCCCGCCTGGCTGCCGGTCCCTCCCTCCCCCCACCCCCTGTCTGCCTGCTGGCCGCCGCCTTTTGTCCTCAGAAGACACGGTCCCCGCGGGGCCTCTGCCAAGCCTCTAGCAGATGCTCAGGGTCCGGGGCTCCTCCCTGGGAGCACTCGGGCCATGGCCTGGGAGAGCCCCGGGCTGAGGGGACTCTCATCCAGGCTCACCCCGCTCCCTAGGCCTGGAAGGGATGGGGAAGAGGTGCAGGTCCACAGCCAGAGGCAGCAGCAGAGGTGGTGTTGGGGAGGGGATGGACGCCAGAAAGAGGGGGTGGGGTGGAGAGAGAGGCTGGCCTGATAGCTGTGTCCCGGGTTTTAGATCCGGGTTGAGGAGGGTGGCTCAGAGCATCCGAGGGGGGGGTCCTGATACAAAACGGGGGCACCACAGACCTGCTAGAGGGACCCTCCTGGCCTGGGAATCACTGCAGCTCACACAGATCCAGGTCCCAAGATGCTGGGGGCACTCAGCCTGTATGAGGCATCAGCTGGGAGCTCAGAGCCCTAAGCTGGACCCCAACCTGTCTATCTGTTCCCCCTCTCCTCGATTTGCACGGTCCCTGCCTCAGGGGCGGGCGGAGGAGGGAAGGAGGGAGGTAGGGAGGGAGAGGGAGGGATGGAGGGAGGCTGAGCAGGCAGGGAGACTCCCAGCAGCCAGCCTGGTCCTCCCTGGGGCGGGGCGGGGTGGGGAGGGGAGGCTGGTGAGGCCGGGGAGCAGCCGGCTGGCTGGCTGGCTGGCTGACTGGGTGGGGATACTGGCGTGGCGGCTGTGCTGCCTGGACAATAGCTGGCTGGAGAAGTCAGACTCCCGCCTTTCTGAGATGTTCCAGAGAGCCACGTGTGGAGGTGGGGAAAGGTGGCCAAGAGGCTGCTGAAAGAGCAACTCACAGGGGCTGCAAGTGCAGAGGAGGCAGGGTTGTGGGGGTCTGGGGTCAAGCTGGGGCAGAAAGGTCCTGGAGAAGTTTTTCAAAAGCTTTGGGATGGGAGGGACGCATAGAGCTCCGAGAAGTGGGGTAGATAACCTTATTTAGAATGGGTTCTATGGGCATTTTCCCATCAAGGCCTGGGGGTGGGATGAGTTGGGGAGGCCGGGTAGGGAGGGCTGCCCAGCTCTGAACATCCCCTCTCAGGACATCTTCTGTGCCACCACTACTTTCTCTGGTCCACTAGACAGGCAGGCACCCATACTAAGGCCTTGTTCCAGGACAGCAGAATGGGACAGGTAAGGAGAAAGCCTGGTAGTCAGAGATTTGAAGACAAGGAAAAATATTTCTGTCCTGAATAGATTAAATTGGGACCAAATGATGCCATAGTGGATCCCCTAATTTTTAGCATTCAAAAATTCCAATTCTCTTGATACAAGCAATTTTCATTCCTTTCTTCCCTTACCCATTGGTTCACCCATTTTTTAAAATTAAAGTTTATTGGATTGACAATTATTAGCAAAGTTACATAGATTTCAGGTGTACAACTCTGTAATACATCACCTATAAAGCACCCACCATTGGGCTTAGCATAAAACATGTTTTATGCTAAGCCCAGTGGTGGGTACTGGTGATACGGGTGAATAACTTCTCTCTGCCATCAGGAAACCCTTGCTCTGCTACCAAACTGTGGTCTTGCAGCCCACCTGCATCTGAATCCCTTAGCAAGCTTGTAAGATGTGGGTCCCCAGGCCTAACTCCCAGAAGTACTAATCTAGGAGGTTTGAGATGAGGTTCCAAAACCCGGATTTTTTACAAGACCCTCACATGTTTATTTTTATACCTACTGAAGTTTGGGCACCATACTTTGGAGAGAGAGAAAAACCCATGAGCCAAACATAACTTCACAAGGGAAATTAGAAAATATTTTGAACTGACAGTTAATGAAAATATTACATCTGAAATCCTGTGGGATGCTGCTCAGGCTATCCTTAGAGAGAAATTTATAGTCTCAAATTCATACATTATTTTTTTAAATGCTGAAAACCCATATCAAGAAGTTAGAAACCACAAATTAAACATAAAGGAAGTAGAAGGAGAGCAGTAACAGAGGTAAGAACAGAAATCAATGAAATACAAATACAGAACTACAACAGAGAGAATCAACAAAGCTAAAAGTTGGTTCTTTGAAAAAACTAGAAAAAACGAAAAATCCCTGAGACTGATACAGAAAAATGTATAGAAAGAACTTAACTCAGGAACAGTATAGGAGGCACTACAATATGGGCCACAGATACACTAAAATATAATAAGACTATATTATGAGGAACTTTATACTAACAATTTTGAAACTTGATAAAATGGGAAAATCCTGGAAACACAATTCACTACAACTCACACAAGAAAAAAATTTAAATCTGAATAATCCTATAACTATTAAATAACTTAATTTATAATTAAAATCTTCCTTAGCAGGTGGAGAGATAAGCCCATCTTAGAGGATTTTGAAAGTTCCTTATTTCCTCCTGTTCCTTTCTCTGAAATGACAGTCCACTACCAGGTGGGCAGAAGCACCTTTGTGGGGCTGCTGTGGTCTGCTTAACCAGTCCAGGCTACACTGAATTGGGAGAAAGAGTGCTACGTTTTACCATACAATTACGCTTTTGAAAAATTTAACATTTTCAAGTGTGAAATGTAATATACAGATAGAAATGTGCATAAGATTTATATATGCAGATTAACAAATAGTTATAAAGTGAACACCCATGTAACCACTGTTCAGCTCAAGAAACAGAATACTAACAGTATCCAGAAGCCAGTAGTATTAACATTTATTTTTTATTTTATTTTTTAAATTAGTTTCAGGTGTACAACACAGTGCAATAGTTATACTTTTTACCCCTCAAAGTGAAAAACCCCTCCCCCATCCGCCACCCCGCTCCCCCCTCCGATATCATACATATCTATTACAATTCCATTAACATTTCTTTTATTTAAAAAAAACCAAAAACCACATTCCTTGCCCATCTATAAGTGATTGGATAAAAAGATGTAGTACATATATACAATGGACTATAACTTGTTCATAAAAAAGAATGAAATCTTATTTGCAACAACATGGATGAACCTAGAGGTTATTATGCTAAGTGAAATAAGTCAGACAGAGAAAGACAAATACCATATGACCTCACTTATATGTGGAATCTAAAGAACAAAATAAATGGGGCCGGCCGAGTGGCGCGATGGTAAAGAACTCGCTTGGGATGCCAGAGGGCCCCGGTTCGGATCCCACATATGAGGGCCAGTGAACACT